TACCGCACCGTGACGTCACTGCTGGAAGATGGCAGGAGGGAGGGGCTACTATATTTGGGCAAAAATGGCCGCTCCCACACTCCCAGTGATCACGACAAAAATTATTATTTTTTTATTTTTTACTGATTAACACTAAATTCCTTAAATCAGAGTGAACGTATTAGTTGTAGGTATAAATAATGATCCATTGATCATTACTGCTGACCAGACTTTTTCTTTAATGAGCGCGGATGTTGTTTTTTCTTTTTTTTTAAAGTTCATTAGATGCAGTTTTTTTTGGAAAACACCCCAAAAACTCATTGACCTCCAAATCGGATCAGTCCAAAGATTTTCTTAAAGCGAATCCTTCAACATGCACCCCTCAAACTGCCCTTGACTTCTCCATAAGGGTTTAGTGGCTTTTTGCCAACATGTCCTTAGACTTAGAGCATTAAAATATAAAGAGGGTCTTATCAGGGTAACACCCAGAAATCAGTTAAAACATGACGTTTCTGTCCCGGTGAGGACAAGAGCTATCTCTGTAAATGTTAATAGAGCTTACCTCTACAGCAGGTGAACTGAGGCCAGCGCTTCTACAATATGTGTGTTGCTTATTATAGTTGAAGCGTTCCTCCCATGAAAGCTACCTCCCCGTTTATAGAAAGCCTGAGGGCAGTGACAGCGTTTAAGGGATGACTGTGTACTTTTAGAACCAGTTTTTTTTTTTTTTTACTGCTAGAATCACAAAGGTTCATCAGTGTCTGTTTGTGAAAACAGAAAATGACCCAGGGGATGATAATAATGATGCTCAGAAAAGCTGGACATGCGTGCACCTGTGTGTGCACGTATCAGTCTGTGAGCTGAGGGAACCTGGGCCGAGACGAGGAGCTGCAGAGGAATCCCTCCTCCGAGTCCCTAAAGTTGTTATCCGCCTCCAGCTGAGCTAGACTCAGAAAAGTGTTGCCCGTAAACACAGAGCACACACTGTCAGGTACTTACTGCTGCAGTCTGCTGTGTGATTTCCCAATAACTTAACTGAATTGGACTGAACGCAATGGAAAAAAGAAGAAAGAAAAGTACAATGTTGCTGATGTAGTTTTATTTCAGAGTAAATAATTTCAATTTAATTAAGTTTATTTCTATAGCGCCAATTCACAACACATGTCATCTCAAGGCACTTTACAATTCAACCAGATCATCCAGTCAGATTGATTTAAAGTTTTCTATCTAAGGAAAACCAGCTGATTGCATGGACTCATTGACTCTGCAGCAATCCCTCACACTAAGCATGCTTGTAGCGACAGTGGAGAGGAAAAACTCCCTTTTAACAGAAAGAAACCTCCAGCAGCACAGCTGATATTTCTCT